AAAGTATGTCAGACGAAGCCCCAGAATCCTTGCCTCCAAGGAGTAGCTTGGTTTAATCCTCTCCAAGATGAATCTGTTTGTTTTCCTGGCAGTCTACTCAAATAAAAATACTTAAGGGGGGGGAGGAGAAAAACATGGAAATGTTTTACCCTTAGAATAGTTTTTGAGATACATATATGTAGTTTTAAAAATAATTTTTATCTAAATTATTTCACAAATTAACTTCTTTACTAACAGATGAAAGTGTTTAAGAGGAAACAAGAGTTAATCTGATGATGTAATTGTGTAAGATGCTAATACTATCTGTGATGTTAACACTATCTTTGTTTTACAGGGATGAGCCACCAAAACCAACCTTGGCTTTGGAATATACATATGGCAGAAAAGCAAAAGGACATAACACAGTGAGTGTCATTTCATGTGGAACTGTTGTGCCCATAGACAGTGAAGTAATGATGCTGATTTTTATGTTTTCCTTATCAATAATAGCTGTGCACTTTGTGATTTTAACACGTTGCCGCACACTTTTTAAATTGACCACTGTGCTTAGAAACACATTTGCCGTCATTTGCGGCAACATGTTAAACTTCAAATGCTGTTCAGCAGATATCAGTCCAAACTAAACTGAAAATATCAGAGCTCTCTTATTTGTTGTGTCTTGGAGTGCTGGAACAAGATTCTTTTGTACCTTTATTTCTTCGGTACATTATTTTAATTGTGTTAATGTGAATATTTCCCTTACAGATTAGATCAAGACTGTGAGTTACTTCTGCCAAAAAAAAAAATCTGGCTTATAATTGGGCTTAAGCTTTTCAGTATTTGTCAAAATGTATTGCTTAATATTTTTGTAAGTTCATTTTGAAATTCTGTTTCAACTTAAGGCTCTAAATCCACTGCCATCAAGTCAATTTCCATTTAGAGCAGCCCAAAAGGGAAAGTAGAACCACCTGTTAGACTTCTGAGGCTGTAAATCTTTATGGAAGCAGGTTGCTTCACCTTTCTTTAGCTTAGTGATTAATCCATTGAGTCCTCAGGGATTCTTGTAGTATTTATAGGTTGGAAAAAGTCACAAACAGAATCTCTTACAAAGTTCTCATAGGCAAAGAGGTCATTGGTTAGATAAATTTTACTCTGGAAGAACAATCTCTAACAGATACTCATTTGTTCCATTTCCAGGCAGTTTTTTTACATATTGATCTAGTCCAAATGTTTGATCACTAGACCACATAAGGAGGTATACTGCTTCTTGTTGCTCCCTATAATCAGCAATGAAAGTTGTTTATTAATATATGCAGAAAAACCTTCATTTTTTGTGACTCACATGTATTACAGCATTTGATGGTAATGAGGAAATGAGTGGTCCTTACATCGGACAGTTTTGCAACTGTTTTCATAAGCTTAATTTTTCAGAAGAGTTCAAAAAATTCCCCTCATCAAATTGTGAATTGAGGAAGATACTCCAATGAACAATTATTATCTCCACAAACAGTAGTATATCAGCAGCAAAACAAATATAGTGATAATTTTTGAGATCAGAATATGCCTAAAATGCTATTATCTGTCTCTCTGTCTGTCTATCTATCTATCTATCTATCCATCCACACACATATATGTGTGTGTGTTTAGAGAGGGTTTTGGTTTTTTGTTTGTTTTTTTCACTAAAACGTGATTTAATGGCCATCTGTCCCTTCCAGGTTTATGAAATGCCCACATGATTCTTTTTCACATAGTTTTTTTCTCTAAATTTTTTATTATCAATTTGCCTTTTTTCCATGTTCATTCTGGAAGCTTCTTTCTCAGTGACACAACTTAAGTGCTGGGGAAAAGGTACAATCGACCAGCAATCTGGTTGAAAAAGCTCTCTTAGAATGTTGTTGTTATGTGCCATCAAGTCACTTGTGACTCATAGCGACGCTGTGTACAACAGCCCTGAATCCTGTTCTATCCTGTGCCAACCTGACTGTCTCCGACACAACTACTCCATTACACCAATCACTGAATCCATCCATCTCATTGAGGGTCTTCCTCTCTTGCCCTGTCCCTCCACCCTCCCAAACGTGATGTCCCTCTCCAAGGACTGGTCCCTCCTTGCAACATGTCCAGAGTATGTCAGATGAAGCTTCAGAATCCTTGCCTCCAAGGAGCATCCCGGCCTCACCATCTCCAGGATAAACCTGTTTGTTCTCCTGGCAATCCATGGTATATTCAACACTATTCTCCAGCATCACAGCTCAGAGGCATCAGTTCTCTTTCTATCATCCCTAGTCATTGTCCAGCTTTCCGACGCATAGCAAGCAATTGCGAAGACTGTGACCTGGATCAGGCACACCTTAGTTTCCAGACTGATATTTTTGTTCTTTAGTATTCTAGAGAGGTCCCTGACAGCCGATTTTCCCAAGGCAATTCATCTTTTGATTTCTTGGCTGTTGGTACCAAGAGTTTTGATTGTGGAGTCAAGCAAACTGAAGCTATTAACAATCTCAATCTCTTCACCATCTATCATAATGCTGCCAATTGGCCCAGTCGTGAGAATCTTTGGTTGGTTTGTTGTTTTTTTTTTTTTTTGAGCTTCAATTCATATTCAAAGCTGCAGTTCTTAAACTTCTGCAGCAAACTTTACAGCTTCTCCTCACTTCCAGCAAGCAGAGTTGTGTCATCTGCATAATGCAGGTTGTTTATGAGTCTTCCTCCAATCCTGATGCCACATTGCTCTTCTGTTCTGCATATATATTGAAAAAATGTGGAGATAGGACACATCCCTGGTGTACACCCTTCCTAATGTTGAACCTGCAGTGTCCCTCTTCTGACCGTTGTTTCCTGATCCAAGTATAGGTTTCACATAAACAATCAAGAATTCTGGGATTCCCATTCTTCTCAGAGTCAGCCAACATCTGTTGTTAGCCACACAGTCAAATGCCTAAGCTGTGCAAATAATTAAGAATGTGGACTGTATGAAGAAGAATTTAGCATCAGAATTGGAGAAAGATTTATTAACCACTGGTGATATGCAGGTGGCACAACTTGTTTGCTGAAAGAGATGATGACATGAGGCATTTACTGATAAACATATAGTGTTCGGTATTATTAAGCTGCAACATAAAACATCAAATTCTCACAATGGGATGAATAAGCTCATAATAAACAAAAAAGATTGGTGTTCTCAAAGATTTCCCTTTACTTGGATTTTTAATTGCCCATGGAAGTAGAAATCAAACAACATCTTGTACTGGGCCAATCTACTGGAAGAGACCTCTTTTAAAGTGATAATTTACAAAAATGTCACGAAGGCAATCCATCTTATTTTGACAACTTCCAGTTTCCCTAGATTCAAACTTGGCAGATTCCACATTGTAATTATTAATGGGTGTTTTCAGGTATTTCTTCTCCTTTTGGGTCATGCCACACCACATCACAAATAAAGGTTCAGAAAGCTTTACTCTGTCCACATCATTAAGGTTGACTCTGCGTTGAAGAGGCGGCTACTCCTCAGTTGTATTTTGAGTGTCTTCCAACTTGGGGGGTTCATCTTCCTGCACGATCTCCTGCTGTTATTCATACGCCAGATTTCACTGGCCAGTTTTTCACCACTAGGTTTCCAAGTCCTTCTTTGTTGTCTGAAGTTCTGCTGAAACCAGTCCACTATGGATGATGGCTGGTATTTGAAATACTAGTGTCATATCTACCAGCACCATGCATCATGAAGGCCACCATAGCACATAGCAAACTGTCAGACAAATGTTGGAAATAATAAAATATTAAAAACATTTTAGTGGAAAAATCCAGTTTTTAATATAAAACCTTTTTTTTTCCCCAGCCAAAACATATTGCTCACTTTTGGGAACTAGGTGGAGGCACCTCTTTACTGGACTTAGTCACCATACCAATCACAGTTGACACGCTAAGGTAAGTGACCCAGCTCCCAGGACAGTTGTAAATGCACAGTAGTGTCCACAGGGTGAATGAGTAGGCGTTTCTGAATCCAAATTTGGAGGTGTGTACCCACTTCCTTTCTGAGTGTTTAAACTGTAAATCTTTCAAAGAGGTTTTAGAAGCACCAAAGTTCTGGTCTGTGTGATGGCTGGATTTCAAGTATAGCATGTTTTGTAAGCCTGTGAATAACAACAACAACAAAAATATGTGAAATAGTACTATGGCAAGTGAAATCTACTAGTAATAATTTTGAAGCACATCCTTTTTTTCAGCACTTATTGCTATGAGTTGCAAGCAACTTCATGGCACATAACAACAACATCTCTGTGTGAGCTAATTCAGCTCTCTTGAGTGGTTTGAGTTTTTCCCTTTCTTATTGGGTATAAATCTAATTGAGAATTTCATTCTAGGTGGTATTATTAGAGCTTCATTTAAGGAAAGATGGTATGTTGGAGGAGAGGAAAGTCTCACTATTGCTTATCTTCATGAAATAAGACTGAAGAGGAAACCTTGAGACCATTCAGTGGTGTTTTCCTGACAATGACTCTCACTTGTTGGCAAAATCAATGTGGAAAAATTGTGACCTTTCTCACAGTGTTCCTGGGAGCCTGTCATAGCAAGGAAAACAATTTAAAAAAAAACAAAACACAAAACCCAAAATTTTAAAATCTGAACTATTTTCATTTTTCCAGAGTTTAATACATACTTGCTGCCACATGGACCAAGTCCAAAGGGCTCAGCAACTGTTTGTTAAATCCAAGTCATGAAGAGTGTCAGGGTATCAAATTCCTTTTTAGCACGGTAACTGTTTTTCCATAACTAGCTAGATGCAGCTAGTACTGTGGGTTTCTTGTTTTTGTTTTTTTAAATCTATTCCTATTTTTAAAGAAATAGAATTTATATTTACTTACTTTTCTAAAGTATACTTATTTACCTAGTAAATTTACTGATTATGTCAGTAACTTATAGAGAACTTGGGGTAAATATTGAAAGCTTGAAAAAAGTAAGTATACCTCCATAATAACATAAAAATAACCTTTGTTAACATGTGATGCTATTTTTTAATCTTTTCATTGTTTATAAACATACTTTGTATATATTTAGGATGTTTATATACATATTTAGATACTACTTTTTCACTTATACCCATAGATTCCCTGTGACATCATTTTATAGAAACTTTTCAGCTTTATAGTTTTTTATTTGCTTTTAAGTGAAACTCATTGAGTCAAGTTGGTTTTGATTCCATAAAGCCATTATTAAAATAGATTTGTATACTTACTTACTATGCAAATGGTATAATATTTTAATTCATTTGATGTTCTATTTCTAGTTGTTTCTTAAAATTGTAATACTGAATTTAGATTCTGATGCTAATCAGGTAGTGTCTGCAGAGCCCTATCATCATGTTGTTATTTCCTTCACGGGTAATTTAGTTAGGAGTTGCTTATGGCCTTTTTTTAAAAAAAAAATTATTTTTTGTTGATGGGCACTTGGGTTGTTTCCAGCTCTTTACTATTGTGAACAAAGCAGCAATAAACATGGGTGTGTATATAACTACTTAGGTGGCAGTTCTGGTTTCTTTGGGGTATATTCCCAGTAGTGGAATTGCTGGGTCAGATGGTATTTCTATTTCCAACATTTTAAGAAAGTGCCATACAGCCTTCTGTAGTGTTTGCAACATTTTACACTCCCACCAATAGTGAATAAGTGTTCCAGTTTTTCCACAACCTCATCAACATTTGCTGTTTGCTGCTCTGTTGAATTTTACTATTATTACTGGGGTAAGATGTTATCTCATAGTTGTTTTGATTTGCATTTCTCTTAGTGCTAAGGATTTTGAACACTTCATGTATTGGTTCGCTATCTGAATGTCTTCTTTGGTAAGGTGTCTGTTCATACTCTGTACCCATTTTGCAGTTTGGTTTTTTACCTTTATCTTGTTATCTCATTTGGCATTTTATAAATTCTAGATATAAGTCCCTTATATGACATGTCATTACCAAATACTTTTTCCCAGTCTGTGGCTTCCCTTTTTACCCTGTTGGAGAAGGTTTTGGATGTGCTTAGGGATTTGATTCTTAGAAGGTCCCATTCATCTATTCTATCCTTTCCTGGTTGTAGGTTTTTCAGGATGTTTGGAAGACTGTTTATGTTGTGGATTAGGACTTCTAGAGTTCTTCTGAGCTTTTCTCCAGTGAAGTTATAGTCCTTGGTTTCAGTCCTAGGTCTTTGATCCTTTTTGAGTTGGTTTTTGTGTATGGAGTGAGGTGTGGATCTTGCTTGAGTTTTCTGTGCATAGTTTTCCAATTTTACCAATACCATTTGTTTAAAAGCCTGTTGTTTCCCCACTTACCTGATTTCATCTCCTTGTCAAAAATCAGTTGACCATAGATAGATGGGCTGATTTCCAGGTTCTCAATTCTAGTCCATTGATCTATGTGTCTGTCATTGTACCATTATCACGCTGTCTTGACCACCATAGCAGTGTAGTAGGATTTGAAATCAGGGAGTGAGACGCCACCTACTTTGTTTCTCTTTTTAAGGAGTGCTTTGCTTATTTGAGGTCTCTTTCCATTTCAAATGAGACTGGAGTTTGCCTTTTCCTTCTCATTGAAGAATGGGA